TATGCATATATTTAAATATATATCTATCATATACATATTATATAATTTAGACCTTATACCCATCACACGCTCATGTGCATAGTTTATAAACCCTAGAGCACCATATACATTTATTAGAGGATATATCTATCATGTACATATATATTATAGACTTTATAGCATCCTCCATTATTATACACATATATTATAGACCTTATATCATCAAACGCTCCTATTTATAAACCCTGTAACATCATATGCATATATTATAGATGTCATATCCTCATAAACTATCATGTATTGTTACACCATAAGCAGTGCTCTGGCAGGGTCAGACACAAAGTGGTGCTGATGATGACCAGTTATGGGAAGACTATTATATATTGGATTGTATACGGAATACCTAACTGACATTTATTGATCTGTATTTTCATTACTTCTGACATATTTATGCGACATATGTTACAATGTATACATTTCCATAACATTATACAGAATTATGTTTACATCCCCCTCGTCTATTTGTAAAAAAGCACGTCCATTTTCATTATAGGAAATATTTCTCGTTTAAAGTTCGCATCTCTGCAGCCAAAACACATCAAAATAAATAAATGAAGCCGATTTTGATTTTGGGTTGATGTTGCTTGTATGTGACCACAGGGCAGGTGAATGTCACCCTGGACCAAAGCGACTGGTGTCAGTGACACACCACATAGGCCACTTTTGTGAGTTCGTGCGAACCCTAGGAGGCTGTCTGTCACACATTAGCTCGTGAAAGACTGATCCAGATGTGGATTACAGTCATAAGAAGTCCCAATTATGAATCCTTGTATTTTTAAATACTCACTGTAAGCGATTCAAGTATGCCTTTGTAAAATTTTAATGATACATTAAACCTGCCCTGGATCACTGCTAAACCTGGATCCAACGCCAATTATGTCACATCAGATTAATACTGATTATAGGATGATGCCATGGCGCCTACGAAGGAAAACCGGGCGCCAAGGAGATGCGACATTTGTGCTAAAGCTTAGAAAACAACTAGTTGCTGATGAACGAATTCAGATAATGGACATCGGGTTTTGTTCACCCATAGAGAACATGTTAGTCCCAGTCCAGTCCGCTATATTTAAGGGGGGGGGAAATCAAATTCACAAAAATAAAACAGTAAGCGATCTGCATTGTAGGTTGCCTCTGTGGATTCTAGTTGAGTCTTCTCATCCTTATTTAATAAGACATCGCCATTTGGTCATTTTGTTCCCATCTGATTGATCCCATTGTAATCAACAGGTTCACATTTGGACTGCATAAAATCAATTAAAACAAAGAAAAGGAATTTAATTCATTAACAAGGTCGCACCCAAGCCGCCATCGCCAATGTTGAAAAAAAAGAAAAAGATATATTTGTTTTATCAAATGTAATCTTTAATCAAATATTGCAGGAATTCATGTCTCAATATCTACTGACTTATAGAAGAATTTCCAATGATAATATATATTTTTTGCGTTAATATAATTATTTCAGATAAAATATATACAAAACTCTTTTTATTTCTCTGTTTCCTTATGAATATGTGTATTTGATCGCGGAAGTGCTGGCTTCTGCTTTTTATCCTATAGTATATTATGTGGGCTTGCTTATTTGTATGAATAGCGCAGTTTTGACAAACATTGTGTGCAATTGTGGTGTTATCAACCTATCCTACACTATCAAAATAAGATTTATGTCTGGGGACTATTTGTACATCCAAATCCCATCTCACGGGGCTGACCTTTTGGGTGAAAGAATTGAATATGGAATATGAAGCAATAATCCCATTTTGCTGATGAATCCATGATAATGAAGGGGGCTCCAGTCCATGCTTTGCTGACAGCCATTGGCTAATCTGTGTATGAAGAGTAGCAGAGCTTAAGGGAGCCAATCCAGTAGCTCCTTGTAACACGTGGAGGAGAGGGGCTCAGGAGCTGAGCTGTGCACTTCACTACACTACTTACTGGTGCCCTGATCAGGGAGAGGGGAGACAAGGGACTGATGTTGTGGGATTCTGCAAAGCCCTATAGGCTCACACACTCTCGCAGACAGCAGCAGCCTCAGCAGACCTGCCACTGACAAGTCCTTCTAGCAGCTCAGACAACAGGCAGCAACCAGATCAGCACCATGAGCAGCCAGTATCAGGAGGAGACAACTGAAAGGCCGGAATGCAAAAGTAAATCCCCAACTCTGCTCTCCTCTTACTGCATAGACAGTATCCTGGGCAGGAGAAGCCCCTGCAAAATGAGATTGCTCAGCGCCCAGAGCTTGCCCCCTCTGACCAGCAGGAGCGACCAGGACAAAACTTTGGAAGGTAAGAGACCCACACCCAAGTGCCACTTATCCCAGGCCTCCTCCTCACTGCAATCCTCAATGCTGCTGTGTCTTCTCACTCCTAGACTACAGGAAACTTTACTGACAAGTGGCAGGATGTTCACCATTGGGTTTCTGACACACTCCAAGGCAAAGATTTAATTCCCTGACATTTTATGCTAATCCAAATTCAACTGCTTTCATTTCATCAATTAGTGCTGACATGATTTCATACTAATAATATGCTATAATGGTGCACTGTTCGCTAGATTTATAGAGCTGACCCCTTTATTTATATTAGAGTGCTATTTGTGTTGTACAGTGTGTTTATATATATTTCCTTTTATTTTTAGAATTTAGCATTTATAATATAAGAATGTAATAGAGTAGTGTTACTGAACAGCGGACATCACCTGTAAATATACTTTTCTTTAGGTCTCTAAGCACTCTTTTGCACTAGAGGTTGACTGACCTGTTGTATGTCCCTGTCTGTATGTCCCCTCATAGCAGCTCGCAGTGTATGGCGCTTCTCCTGGGCCCGATCCTCGAATAACTCTTTCATTCTCAGCGCTGCGTCCATGTGCAGGAAATAATATCCCTTCAGATGTGGCTTTAATAAACATATGGTGGGTTGGAGGTGAAATCTCCTTGTACATGTGCTGAAATTCTTTGTTGACAGTAATTAGAACGTTTCCAGAGGCATCCAATTACCGGCACGATGATTTCAAACGTGTTTGTTAACTGTTCTGTTCATTCATAGCCCTGTATTATCCTAACTTGCAGTCATTGCCTTTATCCTGTTGATGTAATAAATGTCTTATCTGTTATCTCCATCCCTCTTTAATCAGGTTCCCCAAAGAACAACTCTCCCTTTGAGGCCGAGTTGCATCTGCCCCCGAAGTTGAGGAGGTTGTACGGTCCTGTGGGGGCAGCAGGTCGGCTACACATCCCATCGCTGCCCGACGCCAGGTCTGCAGTGGCCAGGTCGGATAAAACGGATCGCCTTGTCCTGTTGGGGGAGAGCAGCTGGGATAGCCACAACCTGAAGATCAGCCAGGCCCCCCAGGTCAGCATCAGCCGCAGTAAGTCGTACAGAGAGAATAGCGCCCCCCTGCTGAGAGACGACCAAAGTCCTGAGGGTCTCCAGCAGCAACATCAGACTGCTTCCACCACCCCTTGTCCCTCTCTGCAGGACAGACTGGGGGCACTCTCTCAGAACCCAGGGGATGAGGATGAGGACGACGAGGAGGATGAAGAGGAGGAGGATGAAGAGGAAGAGGATGAAGTAGACAAGCAGCAACATAATAATAATAACAATAACACCAGCAATTCTAACAGGGGACTCCTGAAAGAGCAGCTTCCACAGTACCAGCAACAGCAGCAGCAGCAGCAACAGCCGGGATGTGGTCCTGATGGAGACTTATCTCCCAAAGAGGAGCTTCTGCTCCATACTTCTGATGGAGATGGTAAAGATGGGGAGGACAGTGTGTGCCTGTCAGCTGGCAGTGACTCAGAGGAGGGCATGCTAAAGAGGAAACAGAGGAGGTATAGGACCACCTTCACCAGCTATCAGCTTGAAGAACTGGAGAGGGCATTCCAGAAGACCCACTACCCAGATGTCTTCACCAGGTAGATAACCTAAGGGAATGGGGGGCATAGTGCCATGGGTTCTGTAGGATTAACTGCCAGAGAAACTGCACAATCGGAGGGAAAAACTGTAATATTAAAGTACTACAAGTAGCAGCATGCCAAGCTATTACCTTCTACAGTAGACAGTTCAACAATCTATAGCAAATGGGACATTCTTCTAGCAGTGCCTATTTTGGTTTACTGTTCTGATCTTTTATTATTATCATTATTTTTTATTATTATTGATGATAATAATAATAATATAACTCCCATATACCGTGAATTTGTTCTTTATCCACACTCTTCCCAGCGCAGATTGATAGTTATGCCCCCGACCACAGGCAGGAAAGAGCTGTATATTTATATCCCCAGTGTTAGCTCTGTAGGGATCAGTTACACAGCAGTGTGTTGGGTAGTCTGGTATAGCCGCTCCCCAGACACCTGACCATTGTCATTTACTCCACAGCTCCAGTACAGGGACAGACACAAGCAGGGCCTTCACTCACAGGTATCAATCACCAACACCGAGATGGATTTAAAATAGTTACAAGAATAATAGGAGATTTCGTGCTGTTATTGGATGTGAACCCATCCGAAAAAAAGAGCAGATTCCACCACTGATTTACATATCATTTATTTATATCTTATTTATATATTTTATAGACATGAATAATACAGCAGTAAACATTTTATTCTGGAATAGGGACACAAGATGAAGCAGATGTCAAGCTTTGAAGCTATTTAAAACAT